AGTGTCCTTACAGAGTTATCCTTCTGGAGTCAACCTCATGGCAATGACTCCCTGGTGATGTCCCTCTTGATTATCATGTTTTCCCCCTTTATAATGAGTTGCAGGTGTCTGCAGCAATTCTTGGGATAATGGGCAGCAATTCCTCACACCAGTCCTCAAGTTAATGGACAGGAAGAGTCTTGGCTCTTTCCCATTCATCCCTCAGGCAATGGATGGTGGAGTTCCAGTTCAGCTCTTCACACCCTTCTCCCAGGCAATGGATATGGGAGTCTTATCTCAATTCCTCCCACCCATCTCGGAGACAGAAGACAGGTGGATTTCCAGCTCAGCTTCTCAGACCAGTCTTTGAGACAATGGACAGACCGATTTCAGATCAGTCTCTCATAGTGTGCTTGGCTCTTTCTCACTCATCCTTCTTCCTCTTACCGGATCCAAGCTGTTGGTGCAGGCAGGCAGTACTTCCCACCCTGCTGATGCTGGATGGAGAGAGTCAGGATTTGGGATGTGGCTCAGGGCTGGTGGGGGTTGGAGTGCAGAGTCTGAGTACCTTCCCCAGGGGCAGATCAGCCTCCCTCCTGCCTGGCCAGAGGGGTTTTGCTGGCATCTTTCAGGCATCAGGGAATTTGGAAGTAATCAGCATCACTTCTGCTGGGAAAGGTGGAAAACCAAGGCAGTGCCGTTGCTATGGTTGCCGCAGACTGTCCTTGATGCAACACCATGTCAAGCAGCGCTGCGAGCAGATGTGCTGCAGCTGGAAAACAAAGCAATTCCCCCAGGTATGAGCATGGCATAGCAGGACACACTCACTGTCCCATCTGCTCCCAGAGCCTCCCCTGGGATGCTGGCTCTGCCCTTGGCTGCATATCCATATGCTGGACCCTCCCTGGCAGCAAACCCCAGCAGTGAAAGCACTGCTGGGGAGGTGGAAGCAGGGCACTTCACCAAGCAATGGATATAGGTGCTTAAAAATAACACCATCAGAAGGTTTGTCATTCAAATAATGTGTATATGTATGGGAAGTGCTTAGTATCAGATTCAAACACTTTGAACAAGGGGGATGCTGAATGTTGGCTGAGCCTTACAACCACTGCTAAATCTTTTTTCCCTAATAAATTACAGATGAATTTGTGGGGTTTACTTGGCTTTGATCAATAGGGTTTGGGCCATGTGTAGGTTCACTGGGTCCCACTGCAGCCTCTGAGGCTGAGGGCTCAGGCTCTGCCTCCTGCCACACTCCAGGCTTGCTGCTTTTTGCTTTTTAGCTCTTGGCTACAAGGCTTTGAGCATCTTAACCCTGCACAGGACAACCTCATCAGAGGTCTGGAGCAAAGCCAGCACTGGCATTGAGAGCCACAGGAGCAGCATGCAGAATCCAGGGCCTGATCCAGACAGGTGTTCAGGTGGGAAGCCCTGCTGCTGTTTCCTAGGGCTCCTCTGGGCTCTGCCTTTTGTGCTGAGGACCCCTCTTCTGAGATCTGCCTCCCTGTACCCCCAGGGTTCTTCTGCCCTCGTTCACACCAAGCACGGTGCCATCAGCTCCTATGAGCTGGTGGCCCTGGAGGTGCTGACTGGGATCTGCAGGGTTCATGTCCTTGTGCCAGGAGCAAGCACCTCTCGTGGATGCTGTGTGGTGCAGTGGGAGATGCTCCCTCTGGCCACCTCATTCTGTCCCCTCTCCCAGGCCCTGGTGGCTCCCAGGATGTGCAGAGTGGTGGGGGGGGAACTCCTGCCCTGCCTGAGCCCATCTCCAGCAGTGCAGGAGCAGGGGAGCAGCCCTTTCCCTTTGCTCAGGGATGCACGGATTCCTGGCTGGGGCTGGCTGCCGGCCAGACCTGCGCAGGGCCCAAGGGGGTGGTTAAGCTCATTGCTTTGCTTTCAGAGGCTTCGGGAAGCCATCCACCAGCATTTAATTCAAACTCATTGAACAATTCTCCTGGGAGCAGCTAGTTCAAGACCAACCACTACAACAGAGCATCCCTGAGATCAGCTGGCACAGCCCCGTAAGAGAGCTCCGTGTCCTCCAGCTCATCTCCATGGCTGTGCCAACACAATGGTGAGTGCAGGACAAGGTGCCTGGCCCAGGGTAATGTTGGCTCAGCTCTGAACCTGGCTGCCTGCCTTGCCTTCAGCCCCAGGGGGTATCTTGAGGTCTGTTAATATCCCTCCCACTTCCACCCCAAACCTGTTTCTGTCTTGGAGCAGGTGCTCCCCAGGCAGCAGACCCAGAGCAGGCCTGGCTCAGCCCTCTCTGGCCTTCACAGCCTGTTGCCAGCTCGCTGTGCTGCAAAGGTGGTGGGATGCACACCCTACTGTGATGGGATTCATGTCCACCACTGGACGCAATAACCTGAGGCCACTTGGATAGGAGTGGGAACAAGGCAGAGTCAGGCTGGGAGCGCAGGGAATGAGTTCCCAGCTCTAGCAAATGAGTGGTGCGTGATGGGACCACCCTGGGACATGAGCTTTCCTGAAGGAGGCTGCTCTCTGGGAAAGCCTTTTCACTCTGTGCTCAATCCTGAGCAGTTCCGGGGGCCATTTGTGCCCCATTCTTACGGCATCCCGGGGACTGTCTCAAAGGAAAAGGCTGGGGCCATGCTGCCTTCATCCCTTGCTCCCCTGTTTCTGTGTGGCTCTATGAGGGCAGCCCATGGTGTGCCCTGTTTTACACCATTGACAACTGCTCAGAAGAAAACTAACGATCTTCATTAATGAGCTGAACACTTGTGGGTCAGGGCCTGATGTCGTGTGCAGGGGCATGTGCAGTCATGCAGCAGGACTGAATCACAGCTCTGCTCATGCTGCAGCCTTCCTGTTAGCTCCAGGCACATGTAGCTCTGCAGCACACACAGAAAGGCAGCTCCAGGCTGCCTTCCATCCATCCCTCATACCCCAGACTGTGAGACGGGACCTGTGACAGCTCATCCTGCTTCCCTGGGAGGTGTGGGATCAGGCAGGGATGTGTCCCAGCCTAGAAAGCAGCATCTGTGGCTGTGATTTAGCCTAGAAGGGGCAGGAGAACCCAGGAACTGTCCCGCAGTGCAGTGGCTGTACTGCAGTGTGGGACTGGGGCACTGAGCTCCCCTCACCTTCCAGAGGTCCCTTATTCTGCCTACGTCCCTTTGTCACAGTCATCATCTGTTGACCAGCTGAAGCCACCACCTTGGGACCCACAGAGCTGCGGGGGGGACTCAACAAGCCATGACCAGAGGCATCCATTCGATTTATAGCGCTTGTTCAGCCCATGAGCAGCCTGGAGCTATTCCCATAACAAAAGCCTCAGTTTGTTGTACAATCCTGATTTTTCCTATGCTGGATGCACGGCTGGCTTAGGGCAGAGAGGGGGTTCAATGTCACCCCACGTCCCAGAGAGTGCTTGGGGGACTCCCGGGGGGGGGCGGGGGGGGGGGGCAGGGGGCTGCATGTCCAGCAATGCCTTAATAACCCCCACGTGTATTTATCTCAGGCAGAATCCCAGCCTGGTTTGTGCTGGAAGGGACCTCAAAGCTCCTCCAGCTCCAACCCCTGCCACGGGCAGGGACCCCTTCCACTGGAGCAGCTTGCTCCAAGCCCCTGTGTCCAACCTGGCCTTGAACACTGCCAGGGATGGGGCAGCCACAGCTTCTCTGGGCACCCTGTGCCAGCGCCTCAGCACCCTCACAGGGAAGAGCTTCTGCCTAAGAGCTCAGCTCAGTCTCCCCTCGGGCAGGTTAAATCCGACTCAGATGTGCAGTGTGCTCTGCAGCTTGGCCAGGCTCGGGTTGGGTTGTGCTGCTCAGCATCAAAAGCCGAATCAGTGCAGGGGGCACGGGAGGGCTGCGGGATGCGGCAGAGCCCATCACCCGCTGCGAGCCGCGGCAGCGCGGAGCAGCATTTTTCAAACTCAGCCCTCGGATGCTCGCAGCGGGTTTGGGGCCGGGCTGTAACGGACGAGAGACGCGGCGGGTGGGAGGGAGCAGCCTCGCACAGGCGCTGGCTGTGGATGGGCTGCCCCCGAGAGGCACCGTGCGGAGCTCCTCACGCCCCGGTGGCTGGGTGGGCACCGTGAGAGGAGGGCTCAGGGGACCCCTATCCATGGGGGTGCCTCGGGATCCTCACCATGAGGGGCCCTGGGGACCTATCACCCATGGGAGACATCTGCCTCTGGAGGATGCTCTACACTTACAGTGATGCCCCGGGGACCCCCACCTCTGAAACTGTCCTGGGGGCCCTGTGCTTAGAGGCTCTCCCTGGGGACTTGTACTGCTGAGGACACCCTGGGGACCCCATTCCCTCTCCCGGAGCACCCTTACCCTCAGGGGTATGCCAGAAACCCTCCCCACCGCCACACCCCGGGGTGACCCCTCCTCCAGGGGTACACCGGCCATCTCCTGTCCCCAGGGATGCCTGGGTGACCCTCACCCATAGCAGCGCGCCGGGACAGCCCCGAAATGCCTGCGCTCTAAAGATGCCCGGAGGACCCCGTACCCCGGGGGTGCCTTTCCCCCGGGATGCCCCTCACCCAGGAGCGGTGCCGCCGCCTCGGCTCTGGGGCCAGCCGCGCTGTGCGGGCGGAGGGGTCGCTGTTGCCGCTGCAGCCGCGGCCGCCCTCCCCCGCTCCCCCCGCTCCGCCGCCGCCTTTTGTTCGCCGCCCGCGCTCGTCCCCGCCCGGCGGCGGGGCGGGCGGAGCCGGAGCCGGGGCCGCAGCCGCAGCGGCAGCCGGGGCCGTTCCCAGCGCAGCGCAGCGGGACATGGAGGCCGCGCCGGCAGAGCAGGGTCCCCCCGCGCCGGCCCCGCCGCCACCACCGCTCCCGGAGAGGAAGAAGAAGCCGCAGCGGGCACCATCGCCCGCTCGCCCCAAGGAGGTGCCGGGCTGGTCGCTGGCCAAGAGCCGGCGCGGCGGCGGCGGGGGGCACCCAGGCGCGGCCCCGCGGCTGGCGGCGGGGGGCGCGCACCCGCGGCGGGCGGGCGGCGGCAAGGACGGGCGGCCCGAGAAGCGGGCGGCGGCGGCAGCGGCCCGGGCCGGGTGCAAGGGGCTGGCGGGGCGCGGCGCGGCCAGGGCGAAGGGGCGGTGCCGCGGCGCGGAGACGGCGGCCACCGGGGCGAAGCGATCGGGAGCGGGGCCGGGGCCGGGGCCGGTGGCCGGGCCCAGCCTGACCGACAGCAGCTCGGAGGTGTCGGACTGCAGCGCCTCCGAGGAGGCGAAGCTGCTCTCGCTGGAGCTGGGGCTCAGCGGCAGCGATGGCGAGTCCCCGGGCAGCGCCCCGCCGCCGCCGCCCTCGGCCGGCGAGGCCTCGCCGCTGCCCGAGGAGCCCTCGGCCGCCTCCATGGCCAGCAGCCGCCTGCAGCTCAGCACCTCGCTCGCCTTCTCCGACCTCACCGAGGAGCTGCTGGACGCCGGCACCGACGGGCTGCTCCGCGAGCTGGAGGACCTGCGCTCCGAGAACGACTATCTCAAGGTGGGCACGGCGGCATCCCTGGGCAGAGGGGCGGCACAGCGTGGGTCAGCAAGGCTCAGCGTCCCTGGCATAGCATGGTTTAGCATCCCTGGGCATGGCGTGGCGAGGCACAGCATGGCATCCGAGGGCATTGCTCAGCGTGGCACAGCATCCTTGGCTATAGCATGGAGTTCTGTGGCATCCCAGGGCATGGGCCAGCATGGCTTAGTGTCTCTGGGCACAACACAGCATCCTAAGGCAAGGATCATCACAATGTGGCATCCTAGGGCATGGTTCAGCATGCACAGCATCCCTGGTAATGGCATGGCATCCCAAAGCATGGCTCAGCAAGGCACGGCATCCTTGGGCAATAGCATAGCTCAGCCTTCCATGGGGCATCACAATATAGTGCAGCATCCCTTGGCATGGCTGGGCACAGGGCACAGCTCAACTCAGCCCTGTATAGCCTGACTCAGCCTGGCATGACACTGCTGAGCATACACTGGCCTGGCTCAGTTGGGCATCACTGCATGGTATGGCTGGATGCAGGGCTTGGCATGGCTCAGCCCAGCAGAGCATCGCTGGACATGGCCTGGCATGGTATAGCTGAGTTCAGCTCAGTTCATCATGGCACAGCTGGGGGCGGCACTTCATGCTATGGATGGGCTTGTCTCAGTTTGGCATAACACGATGTAGGGCATGGTTGGATGTAGGGCATGGCTTCCCTACTCCTGGTACGGCCCAGCTGACATAGAGCAAAGCCCAGCTTAGCACTGCAGGGCCCATCTGGGCATGGTCCAGCATGGTGTGCCATGGCTGGGCACCGCTTGGCTCAGCACAGCATGGCACGGTTTGGCAGAGGGCACACACTGCCACAATGTGGGCCAGCTTAGCCTGGCATGACCCAACTGGGCATGGCAAGCCTTAGCATGGCCCCAGCTCAGCAGAGCCTGGGCTGGCACAGCTCAGCACGGCACGGCTCTTCTCCACCCAGCTTGGCACGGCACGGTTTGGCTCAGCCTGGTTTGGCATCCTGGGATGCTGCTCTGCAGGGCACTGCTCAGCTTGGTGCAGGGAGGGATGCTGCCCTTGCCCTCCCTGCCTGCTGGTGCTGCCAGACCCTGGGGACATTTTCCAACTTGCCTCTTTCCAAGGTTCCTGTGCTTCCCGGGGGCTTTTTCCGGGCATGCAGCATGGCTGCCTGGTTCAGGGGGGGCATGGTGGGTGAAGCCAGAGCAGATGGGCTGTGTGGCGACAGGGGCACAGAGCAGTTTATTCTCAGTCACACCTTGACCTGCTGCCCCTTGGCAGCGGTGTCTGCTGTGGGGTGGGCACAGACACCCACCAAGCGCTGTGTCCTGGTGGGCTGCAGGCGTTTTGCAGCCTCTGCTCTTCAGGGTGGAGCTCTGGATGAGATGTTTGTGCAGTCACCTGCTGGGGGCACACATCTCAGTGGCTGCTCTTGGGATGTCACAGGTTGGAAAGCAGGCCGGCTCTCACCGGCTGGTGCCAAAGCTTTAAATGCCTTGGGTTTATAGCTGCGAGGTGGGAGCTCGGCGTTGGGGATGCACTCAAAGATGCTCAGTCAGGCCCTCTGTCCATTAGCAAAGCCCCAGTTCACAGCTGGTGTCCCAAGTCCTGCCAGAATTAGCAGCAAGAGCTTAAGGGCTTTGATTTACTGAGAGCTGGAAAAACACAGATGAGGCTCCTTTGGTGTCCAGGAACGCGCGTGCAAACGCTCCGGTTCCAACGTGCCGAGCAACCGCTTCCTTCATTTCCACGGGATGCTCTTCCTGCAGGCTGCAGGCCAGCGGGCTGCCAGTGTTCTGCCTGCTTGAGGGGTGGCAGCTGAACCCCCCCCAGCCAGGAGCAGTGGAGAGAGTGGATATATGCACCAAGAAGTGCAGTGGGGTTGCTGGTGGCATCCCCCCTACTTGGCCATGAGTATAGAGTATATGCCATAAGTATGTGCTATGTGCACTTGCGTCTATTCCCTGAGATGAGCATCCTGCTTATGCCCATGTTGTAGGCTGTTTCTCATGACACTTGAGCAGGAGACTGCTGAGATGGTCCCTAGGCTCCAGCCGGGCACCCCCTGTGCTCCGAGGTGGAAGGTTTGCTCCATCAAGGAGTAGAAGCCTGTGTTGCATTGCAGCAGGGGGCTGCCTTGTGCCAGCTCTGCTAAGAATTAGGGTATTTATTGGGGCTTTAGGGCAGAAATCAAGCCCTAACGGAAGCAGTGAACATTACCTGCCTGGCCATGCAGCCTGGGTTGGAGAGCAGCATGCAGGGGCCCTGCAGAGATGCCCTCTGTCCCCAGCACCTCCCCTCGGCTATGGATGAATCAGGCTCCTCAGAGGTGATTTATTTCCGAGGACTCACGCAGCGAGCTGCAAATGAGTATTTTTTTCCTGTGTTCATCAGAGCCAGCTCAAACCCGGTGTGTTTTTAACGAGAAACGAGGAACTCTGGGGGCTGGGAGGGTTTTGGCAGCATTCTGGCACAGGCCAGGCGTGTGTGGTGCTACTACACCCGTGTGCTGCACGCTGGGGTTGGAGCTTCCCAGCAGAGCACATCGCAGCCCTCGGCAGCAGTGCCAGCTCACGTCGCATCCTCCCTCAGCTGCCATAATCAAACGTACATATTTTAAGCACACTTCACCCATTTCTCTCTGTAACCCAGATTTGTGCAAGGCTCTGCCTTTCTCCTCCCGCTCTGGGTGCACCGACTGGGCTCGTGTGTCCTCTTGTCCCTGTGCACCTGCTGTGACACCCCATAAATAGGTTATTTCAAGTGTTCCCCCCCAAAAAGGGCCGTTCCTCACGTGCAGGATGGCAGCCAGCAAGGAGGGGCAGCGTCTCGGGTGTCCTTGCCCCATCTCACTGTTGCTGAGCTGTGTGATGGGAGAGCAGCTCCCAGCCCTGCTCAGCGGGCTGGAAAATGTGAGATGTGATACAGCAGCAGCTGCAGAGGGACGGGCAGACAAAGAGTGGGCACGGGAGAGGGTTTGGAGCAAGGGGAGGGGATGCCTGCAAACCCTTTCCTCTCCTCTCCTTGGGAAGGTGCTCAGGAGAAAGCTGTGTAACGCTGGAAGCGCAGCCCTGCCTGCCCCCTCCTGCATCACCCGCATCCCGGGGGTTTTGGTTCGTTTCTCAGCTCCATGCAGAAACACGTAGGGTGGGTGAATGGGTGCCTTGTTTCTCCCAAGGCAGGCAGGGACCAGTGTGTGCCACCAGTGAGGGCTCTCTGGGAGCATCCCACAGTATATTCCCAGCTACACAGCCCCAGCTGGGGGTGCATGGGAGACCTGGAGGTTGTGTCAGGGCAGCCTGGTTGGCACAGGGCTGGCACAGGGTCCCAGCTCTGTTGCTGCTCACATCCTGCCTGCCCACAGGGGCAGGGACCGTGCCCGGGGGTCCCGGTGAGTGCAGGCGGAGCCGGGATGCAGGGATATGCCATGTATCACCTTCCAGCAGCCAGAGCAAGGGGGTTCGCAGGCTCTTGCCTCTTGAGGTGCTGCCCAGCACGGGCTGGGCTGCAGAGAGCCCCCGGCTGTTTGCCTCTTCATTATGGGGCAGGTGTAAAGCTGTGGGATGTGGATTTTCCCCTCGCTGACATGCTCTGTGCTGAGCAGGAGCTGTGGTGCCAGCCAGGGCAGGGCTGTGCTGCACTGGGCTCCAGCATGACATGGAGGAAGGACAGCTGATGTTTGCTGTCAGAGCTGGGCTAGAGCTGCTGTTGATGCACCTAAAGAAACCTCTGTGTGCCACAGGATGTGCCTTACCCGTCCTTCAACCCACTGCACCCCTGCATGGGCTCGGGTGAGCTGCATTTGCTGGGATCCCCTGGCTGGCAGGGACACCGCAGGCAATTACCCTTCAAAATTCCCTCTTGATTTCATTTTTCCCCTAGCAAATTCTAGCATAATTCCCTCTCCCGTCTGGTGGGGGCTCGGAGTTAATGGGAAGCTGCTGCTTTTGTCCGTGTAATCTCGGAGGAAGCTGGAGCTTGTTGCTCCTGGACAGTAATCCCCACCTTTGCACCAGGGATTTCAGGCTTTCCCTCTGCCTGCGTGGCCCCAGGCTCTGCACAAAGGCATCAGTGCAAAGCATAGAGGCAGCTTTCAACCTTGCTGTCACCACAGCTGCAGCCTGTGCTGAGGTTTGGGGTGCGGGTGGAGGGTGTGAATGCAGCCAGGGCTGGGCTCCCCGACTGCTGCCTGTCCCCCCTGCACCCCAGAGCCCGAGGCTGCCAAAGCTGAGGGTGTCTGTGCTGTCAGCAGCGCCTCAGCCACCAGCCATGGCGTTGTTTGCATCATCCTCTTGTGTATCCGTTGCTGTTTCTGCTTCTAAGAGATAGTGGATCCTGCTGAGGAGCTGCGAGTCCCCTGCGCTGCTCTGAGCATGCTGTGTTCGTGCAAGCACCTAAGCCAGCGTGTCACCCCTTGGGCAGGAGAGCTGCGGGTTTAACTCTTCTGCCACAACCCCCATGGGTCTGGTCTGTGTTTTGGGGTGTCCTGCAGGTGGGCATCAGGACATGGCTGTAGCTGTTGCCTCCTCCTGCTCTGGACCTGCACGCACGCTTGTCTGAACTGGATCCAGGCAGTTTGCATCCCATCTTGCCGCTCCTTAGCTTCCTTAATAATCTCCCCAGGGAGACACAGTGCCTCTGAGGTTTGTGCAGAGCAGGTTGAAGGGATCTTGTCTCCGGTTCCTCTCTGCAGTATAACCTGTCTCCTGCAGGCATGCAAGGTGTCTGCTTCTGCACACCCTCGTGCCCTGGGCATTGAAATGAGTCCCCCTGAGCTGCAGGTCCCCAGCATCATTCCCAAGAGGGGTGACTTGTGGTGTAAACCCGCTATGAAGGAAATCTTTGTGGCTGCAGAGATGGGGTGGGCACAGATGCTGTGGTGGGTGGTCCTGGGGGATGGAGGGGATGAGCAGCCCAGGGGTACTGGGAGGCCGTGACTCCACACACAGGTGGGCACCTTTTGTTTATGGGATGAGAGGCCAAGCCTGGCAGCCTCTTGGACAGAAGTCATTTACCTCATCCTCAGTGTTGCCCTCTCTGTTTTACCTCATCTCTGTTTCACAAGGCCAGGTTGGACACAGGGGCTTGGAGCAAGCTGCTCCAGTGGAAGGGGTCCCTGCCCATGGCAGGGGTTGGAACTGGATGAGCTTTAAGGTCCCTTCCAACCCAAACCAGTTCACGATTCACACTTGGTTTATCATTGCTATGGAGCTTCATGGTCACAATGCCACCCCTCAACTGGGGGTGTTTCTATGGGGTTCCTCCTGGCTCCTAGCTCTGCTCTCACCTTATCCAGATGGATTCTTTGCTTTGTTTTGGGGCATCACCCCCAGAAAATGTGCAGATGCAAAGGGTGAGGCTCAGTGGCTGTCACAGACCCCAAAGCCCTAGGGGAACCCCTGTGCCCCCCGTGTGCTGCCTCCAGTCACCACAGGGATGTTCTGCTGCTGCAGCTTGGCATCCTGAGCTCCCTTTCAGTTTACTGGCATTTTCTGCTCCCGATCCTAATCCAGTTACTGTGCCTTATGGCACAGCTTGCCTCCTAGGGGCAAGCTTGGGATGGGCTGTGTGGCTGCTGGGCTGCTGCCATTTGAAGAGTTTATTGCTATTATGGGGTGCATGCAAATTCCTGTAGCTTTCCCAGCCTTCCAGTGCCGACCATGCTGCAAACCCCCCAGCCCAGTCCCGGGAGAAGCAGCTCCGGGCTGTGCCGATGGGCTTTGCCCCGGCAGCAGCTCAGCTGGACGCAGCCTCATCCCAGTATAATGGTTGCTACAACCCGAGGGATAAACAAGAGGAGCTCTTGGTGCTGCAAGGCCAGGCTTCCTTCCAGCAAGGTTTGGTTGGGCTTTTTCCAAGGTCCCTGCTCCCTGCCCTGCTCGGCTGCTGCCTGGGGAAGCCACATGGCAAATGGGAACTGGTACGGTCAGCACTGGAGCAGGATGCAGACAGCCCCGGGTGCCTCTGCAATCAGATTCAAGCCACGATTCGCATGACTTTGGTGGTGAAAGGTGGTTTTCCATCAGCCTGCTGCAGAGCCACTGTGATGCATGATGCATTTTACATAGAATCACAGAGTAGTTTGAGTTGGAAGGGACCTTAAAGCTCACCCAGTTCCAACCCCAGCCACAGGCAGGGACACCTTCCACTGGAGCAGCTTGCTCAATCTTGCCCATGAAAGCTCCAAAGGAACAGATGCCTTGAGCCAGCTCCCCTGGCAGGTTTGGGTTACAAGGGTGGCGTCCTCAGGGCTGTGGCACTGCTGTATGGGGTAGGCAGTGCTGGTGATGCATCTCCATTGGTGCATCGCAATGTCACGGGGCTGTCTGGTGCTGTTCAGCCTTGGGGGATTCACCTCTGAGCTGTCCAGGGGTGGACATGCCCATAGTGATGCCCCTTCATAGGGCAGTCTCCAGCTGTCCCTGGAGCAGCCCTGGCACTCCCAGATGTCCATCTCAGTGCCTCGGGGCTGTTTGTGCCCTTCTCTTGTTCTCCAGACCCCCCAGCACGAAGCAGAGCAGCTTCAGGGGGGCAGCAGGATGCTGGTGGCCACGGTGCCGCAGCGCTCCAGCAGCCTGGACCAGAAGATAATCCGGGATTGTCTCCTTGACGTTCCTTGTTTATCACATAGTGCTTAAAGCCAACAGTGAGCGACTGTGCCTGTCCCTGCAGCTGCTGCCCCCCCTCCCATGCTCTGCTTTGCCTTCAGGGGGAATTCCTGCAGCTGGGGCTTTATCCAGCAGGATGAGTGGGCAGGGAGTGTGCCAGCGCCTGGCACAGTGCTGCTCACCCTGTCTGTAGGGCACTGTCATGGGTCAGGAGCAGCAGGGTCCTGTCCCTTCTACCTGGGGGGAATCAGGGCTGTGCATCCCCCCTGCCTGTGCTGGATCCTCATCTTGTGGCCGTGCCATGGAGCAAGGCGGCAGCAGGAGCAGGAGTGACATTTGGTAGTGATGGGGTTGTTCAGTGGTGGCTGGAAGGCAGATGTTTGATCCCTTCCCAGAAGCATGCCGGGTCCAGGGTCTTCTTGAGGAGGAGAGCAGCCAGAGCTTTGCTTGGAGGATGGTCACAGGGATGTGAGAAGAGCTTTGGGCAGTGCGGCCTGTGTGGGTCCCAGGAACAGGAGTCCTTGAGCATCCCCAGTGGCCACTGCCCCTTGCCGGATGGGGAGGTGGCACTGGGGCTGCAACTGATGCAGGGTTCCTGCAGGTCTGGAGGAGGCTTTGGGTCACTGTTGGTGCCTGCAGGATGTCAGCCCTGGCCCTGCTGTGACAGTGAGACTGCAGCTCCGTGCTAGAGACTCTGCTGGCTTAGGAGGGGTTTGTCACCATGAGAGCTGATGCAGCTGGGAAGGGGTGGACCAGGGGACCCAGCCCAGTGGTTGCTGCTTGGTGGCAACATGAGGGACAACCTCTGGTTCCAGGCGCTGGCAGCATCTCGCCGTGTCCCTGCATTGCCTCCCTGTCCTTGCCTGCCATCTCCTCCTCCTCTCGCCTGCCTCCCTGACACATCTTTTCCAAAGACATCCCATATTCTCCGTGCCGCGGCTGCTGCCTGTGCTGCTCCTGCAGCTCCTCTCCCTCCCCCATCTTCCTCTTTCTTTCACCACCAATGCACCAAGGCACCCGTGTTGGCTGTTCCCTGTCGTGGCTGGGTCACCAGCGGGTGATGGTGCCCACCTGGCTCTGAGCCCTGTTCCTGCAAGGATAGGGCTTGACTGGAGAGGGACTCTTCATCAGGGGCTGTAGCGATAGGACAGGGGGCAGTGGGTTCAAACTGACACAGGAGAAGTTCAGGTTAGATCTAAGGAAGAAGCTCTTCCCTGTGAGGGTGCGGAGGTGCTGGCACAGGGTGCCCAGAGAAGTGGTAAATGCCCTATCCCTGGCAGTGTTCAAGGCCAGGTTGGTTGCCTGTGAAAGAGGGCTGGATCTGGATGACCTTAAGGTCCTTTCCAACCCAAACCAGTTTGGAATTCTGCGATTTTATGATTCTGTGAGCCAAGGGGTTGAAGGTATGTGAAGAGTTTGTTGGCTGGAGGAGAACAGAGGAGCCATGGTGTCCCCACCACGCAAAAAACAGGGGAGAGCATCTGCGCGTTCTGTCCCCTCTAACGCACATCTCCGCACAGGATGAGGTCGAGGAGCTGCGCGCAGAGATGCTGGAGATGAGGGATGTCTACATGGAGGAGGACGTGTACCAGCTGCAGGAGCTCCGTCAGCAGCTGGACCAGGCCAGCAAGACCTGCCGCATCCTGCAGTACCGGCTGCGCAAGGCGGAGCGGCGCAGCCTGCGCGTGGCACAGACCGGGCAGGTGGATGGAGAGCTCATCCACAGCCTCGAGCAGGACGTCAAGGTGAGGCTGCACAGTCCCCATGGCACACAGGGTGGGTTTAGGTGAGGTGTGGGCACCGTGGCTGGTGCAGCACAATGGCATGGCAGCAGGTATGCAGGGAGTGCCATGGATTGTGCTGCTTATTGGGCTGTCAGTGGGGGCATCATGATTCCCCGCTCATGGAGTTGATATGGGAAGTGGGGAGCAGTGCTTGCAGCTCACAGGTGGGGAGTGTTTGGGGGGGTCCTGGGGTGGAGAGGGACAGCATTGCCCAAGGATGGCGGTCTTGCAGTGCCGTATGTGAGGTTCATCCTGTGCAGGCTGGAGCTGTGTGTCCCAGGACTGAGCTCCCTTATCCTGCATCGATGGGGACAGGATGGGGCCACTGCCATGAGCTGGAGCATCACAGATGTGCAGAGAGGGAGCATGGGGACCAGGACCCTGGGGACATGGGGCTGCTCCTCTCAGCCACCAGGGAACCCTTGCAGAGCCCCAGGCATGGTGGCAGGCCGGGCTGGGGCAGGGACAAGGGGACTTCTGCAGGGTGACGTTGCTCTGCCCCACCAGCGCTGGCCTTGAGGAGCTGCTGGTGCCAGTGAGTGTTTGCTGAGGGCTCTTGCTGCCAGGAGCAGGGTGCGATGGGAGCTCGGGCGGGACGGGAGCAGCTCCAGGAGTAGCTTTGATTCCAGAGCAGAAAACAGCCAGTCCTGGAGCTGAGGCACGCCCCAAGCATGGGGTTGTGAACCTGCCTTGTGCTGCTGGGGCCCAATCCCCTCCCAGGCTGCCCAGCAGCCCCCAGCTTGGGTGCTGCTGCCTGAAACATCCCCCTCCAGCTACTCCTGTCATGGAAAGAAAAGCACAGCCCATCCCTGGGGGAATGGGAGCCTGACCCCATGGCCTGGGCCGCCCCATCTGCCTCCATAGCCCCGGTACCCCAGGCAGGCAGGGGACCAGGGGCACTGGGGATGATTTTCCCTTCCTTCAGATGCAGAAGTGAATGCTCTGTGCTGTTAAGCTCCCTTTATGTCAGGGGCTGCTCCCTTGCAGGAATCTGGAGAGGGGGCTCTGAGTCTGTGCCCAGGATGGATGGATGGAGCCACCCTTCACCCGGGCAGCTGCTGTTTGTTCTGTAATGTGATGCAGCAGCTCTCCTTTCTCCCTGCCAGCACAGCTGCTGCCTGCAGTGAGTGGCTGCTGCCTACTCTGATGCTGCCTGCCTGCTTTCCCAGCCTTGTGGCAGCAATTCCAGTCTCACAGTGTGGGAAAACAGTATAACAAGGCAATGAGTATCCTGTTAGGGCTAGGGAAGATGGGGTTTGGCCAGGGGATGGGGAGTGGGGCAGCCTAACGGTTGGGGAATGGGGACAGCAGTCACAGCAGGCAGTGGAGGGGACACACACAGGAGCCATGGTGTCACCCAGCCCAGTGGCTGCTCCAGAGGGTCTCAGTAACAGCCTCCTATGAGGCCTGTGGTGCCCAGGTGCTGCGGTCCCAGCTCCGTGTGCACCGTACCAGGCTGTGACAGCCCCATTGTGTCCCCAGGTGGCCAAGGACGTGTCCGTGCGGCTCCACAATGAGCTGGAGGCGGTGGAGAAGAAGAGGATCCGGCTGGAGGAGGAGAATGAGGACCTGCGCCAGCGGCTCATCGAGACCGAGCTGGCCAAGCAGGTGGTGCAGAACGAGATGGACAAGCTCCGAGAGGTGAGGGGACATGGGGGGCACTGGGAGGCGTCCCCAGGGCACTGCCCATAGCAGGTGTCTGCTCTGTGGGATCTCATCCCTGCTCCCATCGCTGAAACCCAAACCCTGCTGCAGATGCTGGGAAACCGGAGCAGTGCCTGCTCTGTGTGAGACGTGCTTCAGCCCTCCCCAGGGTATGGGGTAGCTCTGCCCTGTGCTGGGGGTCTATGGGATATGCCCCCTGCGCTAGAGCCACTTACATGTCCTCAGCCACTTGCTCAGACTGGCCAAAGCTCTGCACCATGTGTGGAGGTCGCTCTGTCCCTGGCACAGTGCCTGGTGGTGGCCGTATCCTGACCACATGCTGCTGGTTCCAGTGCGGCTGAGCCATGAGGCTGCATGGCTGTGATGTCCCGGGGGTGTCCCAGCAGTACTGTAGAGCTGGGTGGGTGCACGATCCCATCCGTGTCCTGGGAAGCCGTGTGCCCAAAGCACAGATCCAGGCCACCCCATGCTGTGCCAGGTTTGGGAACAGTTCCCGGCCAGGAGCGATATCATCAGGAAAGGCATCCCCGTGACAGCGCGTACTTGTGATCCACCACAGCACTGGTAACCCACTTCCCTACTGCCCGGGATGCCTTTGGTCCCTCGGGAGCCTCGGGAAGCATCATCGCTGGCTGAGCCATCAGAGCAGTGTGAGAGATGTGCTGAGGCAGAGCTCTGGCCCTGCTCCCGCCGAGGACAGGGACACGATGCAGAGAGAGCTCCCTCTGCCCCCAGCCGTGCCTCCTGTGTGGCAGAGCAGGGAACCAGCACAAGGCTTGGGATCTGTGGGGCTGGCTGTGGCCAGTCACAGAACCACAGCCTGCTTTGTGTTGTAAAGGACATCCAGTTCCAACGCCTGCCACGGGCAGGGACCCCTTCCACTGGAGCAGCTTGCTCCAAGCCCCTGTGTCCAACCTGGCCTTGAACACTGCCAGGGATGGGGCAGCCACAGCTTCTCTGGGCACCCTGTGCCAGCGCCTCAGCACCCTCACAGGGAAGAGCTTCTGCCTAAGAGCTCAGCTCAGTCTCCCCTCGGGCAGGTTCAAGCCATTCCCCTTGCCCTGTCCCTACAGGCCCCTGTCCAAAGCCCCTCTCCAGGTTTCTTGTAGCCCCTTTAGGTACTGGAGGAGTGTTATATGGTCTTCCTGAGCTGAATAATGCTGGGGCCAGCTCCTGGCAAGCCACAGGACCCAGCCGTGGTAATGCCATCCCCTCTGCAGCCACTTTCTATCAGTGTCACAGAACAGCATCACCCCGATGGAGTGTCTCATCCCTCCCCTGTGCAGGCTGCGCTAACAGGCATGAAATGGGTTTCCCTGCAGCCAGCACAGGCTGAATAACAAATGGCAGCAGCAGGAGCTGGGCTGGAGGATTCTTGTGCTTGAAAACCAGGCAGAGACAATGGTTGTGTGGTCAGTGCAGGGAGCTCCGAGTGCCAGCTCCTACCCTGCCCTGGCAGAAGAGCGTGGGACAGGATACAGCCCCTCTGCGGCGCTCAAAGGGATGCTGCTGGCGGGAGGACACCCAGCCCAGCTCAGAGCCCAGCTCCAATGGCGTGTCCCCAGGCGAGCAAGGGCATGGGGTTACTCAGGGAGCACTCAGAGTGCTAATGAGACAAATGAGTGAGCTCAGAGCCCTCCTCCACCTCCTCCCTGCTGCTGCAGGGCACAGAGCACGGCAGAGCTTGTTAGCAGCGAGGCAGGGCTGAGAGGAGGCTGCGCAGGGCTGGGCTCACCCCTCAGGGCTCAGTGTGTCTCCTTTCCAAGAGGTTTCTCCCATAAGTGGATAATTGTCGGGATGGGCAGATTATCCCAAAAGTGCCTGTGCTGTGCCCCTCCATGGCATGTGCTGGGGGGCAGGAGAAAAGTGGGACTGGTCCAGGTACCTCGTGCCACATTGAATTTGGTCACAGCGAGATCCAGGGGCACAGCCAGCCCGTGGGATGCACCCGAGGTGGAGCAGTGACAGCAGCATCTGCCCCAGGGTGCTGTGCTGGGGCCGGGCAGTGCCTGGTGCACATGAGGGATGCGACGTGGCACAGGCAGCCCCCGGGAGAGGCCCTGCAGCAGCCCCAGAGATGGTCGTGGCCTTAATAGGAAAGCTGGAGCCCGGCACCTTGGCACGGGCAGCATTTCACATTTCAGCTGCATTTCCCAGCTGCTTGCTTTGGCTGCTGGGCCCCAGCGCCCGCTTGGCAGTAGGTCCAGGGCGGCTGCACCGATGGGCTGGTGCTCACGGGGGCTGTGTGGATGTTCTTGAGGGGTTTTCCCCAGCTTCCCTCCCCACATAACTGGCCCTGCTCCGGGCACATGGATTTTCCCCCTTTCCGGTCTCCTTTATTGCTCTGTTTGGCCTCCCCATCCCCCAGCTGTCCTGGAGATTGTCCCTTGTGTCCCCAGAGACCCCGAGGGCAGAGTCAGCATCCCCCTGCTGAGCAGCCCTCCCTATAACAGTGACCAGGACTTGTGCCTTGCTTGGGGAAGAGGCTGCTCCCACACTGGGATGCCCCAGAGCTGTCGCTTGGCCTGGGGGTTGGATTCCCTGCTCCATCCAGCTCCGAAGGGACCATGACTCAGCCTCTCCACGGCTCATTTCCTGCTCATTCCTGCTCGCTCCCAGCGCGCCTGCCTGCAGGGGGAATTTCTGGCCAAACCTCATGAGATCATGCTGCTTGTCAGCCCAGCTTCTCCCTCAGCAAACAGCCTCAGCCCGCTGGGGCTCTGGTGTGTTCCTGGGGTTCACAGCACTGATACCCATCCACAGTGGGTCTGTCTGTGCGTGCTGGGGTGCAGAGCCATCGCTCCAGGTAACAGCTCTCTTCTCCCTGCAGAATTCCCTGAAGAAGCGGGGGTCTCGCTCCATCGGGAAGGCTGAGAAGAAACCATCAGTGCAGGTATCAGTGCAGGGTGTCCCACCAGCACCCCATGTCATGGTGCCAGTGGAGCCCAGATGTAAAGCTGGGCATGACAGCACCATCCCCTCCCATGCAGGGATTCCCTCCCTTTCAGAGCCCCTGCATATGGGAGGGATTGACTCCTGGGCCATCCTGCTCCATCTTCACCTGCTCCTTCATCTCATTTATCAATGGAGCACCAGTGGCTGTGGCTTTAACCCTTTCCATGGGTCAGGACTGCAGGAAGGAGCTGAAGGACTTTGGCTTTTCCATTGCAGAGCTGCTCCTGCTCTTGGGTTGCAGCTATTGCATCCTGGGTCCCTCCTACCCCATGGGATGTGAGGAGCTGAGGGTCCCCATGGGACAGGCTGGTGGCCGCATTGTCCCTGCCCTGCCAGGGTGCTGGGGGGATTTGGGCTGCAGCAGGATTTCAGCTGTCACTTGCTGTTGGGATGAGCTGCTGTGAGTCACTAATGCTGTTACCGGGGGTCGGAGGGGCAGAGCTGCTGCTGCGGGAATAGAAACACAAGTGTTTTAATGCTGCAAAAATCCTCTTGCAAAGGCAAAAGACCTGGAAGGTTGATTGTGGGGAGTGGATCTGTGCCCCCAAAGCCAGGGTAGGGAGGGAGACCCTGTAAAGCCACCCCTGCTGCTCACATGTTGTGGTGGGGACCCCGGGCACCCCAAGGGTTCAGCATTGCACAGCCCACTCTGTGTAGCCACGGGACAGGGATCCCCGGGCTCTCAGAGACTTCCCCCTATGGTCTTTTATTTATCATCTCCTTTTAACTCCGTCCTTGAGAGCCCTTTCAGGCCAGATGCTGGTCCCAGAGTCCTGCCCCATGTCCCCAGAGCAGCTTTGCAGCTACACCCAAACCAAGGGGTCCCTCTATCACCCCCCTTCCTGAGACTGAAATACAGCCCCTCCTCTCCTCTATCCCAGAACAAACCCAGGGCTGGGCTGCAGTAAACCCCCCTCTGCTTCCCACATCCCCATGGAGCCAAGACCCCTCAGCCTGGGGATGCGGGGCTGGATCCCAGCTCTGCAATGGGATGGATGCTCCAGGAAGGAGCCAGTGCTGGAAAGCAAATCCTGAGCTTCCCCAGGTTCAAATGCCCCTTAATGTGTTCCCCTGAATGCTCCCTCTCCCTGTGGCCCCACGGGCACAGATGCTTGTGACTCAGTGGTGGTTTCCTGGGCCCCTTTCCTGCCCGAGTGAGAGTGGCCACAGGGTGAGCACTGGTGCTTACTGGAAATGGAGCTGTGAGGGGACACAGACGCAGTGCTGAGGTCTGCCCTGACCCCAGGAGCACTCGAGGTGGCTCTGGGGACGTGTGTGTCCCCCCAGCGATGTCAGGGGGCAGCGGGACACACCGGCTGCTGCTTTCCCCCCCCCCCCGGATAAACAGGAACTGAGGTCATGTCTGCCCGCACTGCCCCCCCCATCTTTGCAGCTCCGGGGGGGGCACAGCTTTAATGCGCCTTAGAGCGGCTGCGCCTGCATGTGTGAGCGTGGAAGAGCAGCAGGGAGGCTCCTGTGGCCATCTGGGGACGAAACCAGCACCCCGAATACATGGGACAGCCACCCCCATCTCCATGGGCTCAATATGAGCAGCCTGGGAAGTTGGTGGGGAAAAAACAGCTGTGGGGCTTGGGGAGTGAGCACAGGCATGGCTGGGGTTCAGGAGCACCCAAAGAGGGGGACATCTTATTTGTGCCAGCCAAGGAAACAGGAAAGGGGATGAGCTCAGCCAGGCAGAGGGACAATGGGCACCAGCACCCCCCTGAGCTCCAGTGGGTGCTGTGGGGTGAGGGTCACAGCCCCACAGGTCCCATCTCGCAGGGACTGAGCTCAGAGCATGGGGGTGACCCCACGGCAAGGGAAGCCATGAGCTGGGCATCAGGAAATACTGGTCCTCCATCCGGAAGGGTTTCCAGAGTAGAGGAGCAGTGTGCCTGGGCAGGCAGCCCAGAGCCGGGCTCCTGCCTTCAGAAAAGCACACGGAAGCAAAGGGGCTGGGGAAGGGACCGGGAGCTGCTGCCGGGGGTTTCTGTCCCCTGGTGGCAGCAAGGACAGATGGTGGGTGAGGAGTGGGACTTTGGGAGGATTCCAGCCAAAACTGGTGCTTCTCCACCCCGGGATGGAGCGTTTGGGGCTCGGTGGGAGGAACAGAGCCCTGGCAGGGGTTGCAGCAGCAGCAGGGGCTGGAGGCTCGGCTCTCCTTACCCAGGCATCTTGCTCTGTCTCCGTGCTCCCCCTGAAAGCCTCCAGGATGGATCTCAAAGTTGTTTCCTCTCCACAAACAGGGGCGGCAGCTTCCCGGGGTGGGAGGGTGGCAGGGGCTCGCTCAGAGCCACCGTGGCCCCAGGAGCACCCTTTAACACCCGCACCCTCTCGGTCCCCCCAGGAGGACAGCGCAGACCTCAAGTGCCAGCTGCATTTTGCCAAGGAGGAGTCGGCCCTGATGTGCAAGAAGCTGACCAAGCTGGCCAAGGAGAACGACGGCATGAAGGAGGAGCTGCTGAAGTACAGGTCCCTGTACGGGGACCTCGACAGCTCCCTCTCGGTGGAGGAGCTGGCTGACTCCCCCCACTCCCGGGAGGCCGAGCTGAAGGTCCACCTCAAGCTGGTGGAGGAGGAAGCCAACATCCTCAGCCGCAGGATAGTGGAGCTGGAGGTGGAGAACCGCGGGCTGCGGGCGGAGATGGACGACATGAAGGGCCAGGGGGACAGGGAGCTGCCGGCGCAGGACGCGCGGTTCCTGGCGGGCATCGCGGGCTGCGGGGACACGGGGGACACGGTGGCGGAGCTGCGCCGGCACCTGCAGTTCGTGGAGGAGGAGGCCGAGCTGCTGAGGCGCTCGCTGCTGGAGCTGGAGGAGCAGAACAAGCTGCTCCTGAGCGAGCTGAGCAAGTACAAGTCGGAGCACGACCTGGACGTGACGCTGTCGGAGGACAGCTGCTCGGTGGTCAGCGAGCCCTCGCAGGAGGAGCTGGCCACGGCCAAGGTGCAGATCAGTGAGCTGAGCGGCAAGGTGAAGAAGCTGCAGTACGAGAACCGCGTCCTGCTCTCCAACCTGCAGCGCTGCGACCTCGCCTCCTGCCAGACCACCCGGCCCATGCTGGAGACGGACGCTGAGGCCGGTGACTCGGCGCAGTGCATCCCCACCACCAGCTGGAGGGACGGCAGCGAAGCCGATGTGCTCAGTGGTGGGAAGGTGCCCGATGGTCCAGCCAAGCTGCTCAAGCCCAAGGATTTGGAGACCTTGGTGGGCATCCGGGACCAAGCGGTGCTTGTCAGCAAAGCGATCAACATCTTGATTTCGGATGCCAACGGCTTCACCTCTGGGCTGAAGGCTTGCTTGGACAACGAGTGTGTTGGGGGGCTGCTGGGCGAGGCGGTGGGCAGCGGAGGTGAGGGCCCCAGCGATGCCAAGCTGATGAATGTGCTGCTCATGCGGCTGGGGGTGCTCCAGCAGGACCTGGGCTGCTTCGTGAGGAAGGTGGAGCACCTCACTGGCAGCCCCAAGGAGCACACGGACTCTTTGAGCTTCTCCGGCCCCAGCAGCCACGACACCACCAAAGAGGGGCTGCAGAAGGAGCATGCCTCCGACTTCCAGGTACGGGCTTCTTGCCGCATCCCCCTCCGCTTTATTTGCCGCCCCGTTTCCTCCTGCTTTAATGGAGCAAACTCCAACCCCCAGTGTAACCTCCTGCCTCTCCAGAGCGAAACCCAAACTAACACCTCACTGCATGCCGGGGGCACCGGGGACAAGGTAGGACTCTGCTCCAACAGAGTGTGCCCAGGGCAGGACAGGGTGGGCGTCCCAGCACATCCCCGCATGGGCTAGTTGTGCTCTGCCCATGGCCAGGGGCTCTTGGGTGTAGTCTCACCTTAGCAGGGGCTGATGTTTTGGCTGCTCTCTCCCAGCTCAGCCCAGCATCCCCTTTGCTTACTGGTTATGAGCCTCAGTAACAGCCGCCCAAATTGTGGGGACCCTGTCTGCAAGAAGCCTCAGTTCCCAGTGGTACCCAGGCAGGGTAATTTGGAGAGCAAAGGCTCCAGGACAGATCCACATCCAATGGAGAGTACCTTTGAAGCAATGGGGAGCAGCTTTGCTTTGTCTTCACCCCTCTTTCCAGGGGGTCCCTCATGGCAGGGACCAGGAATGTCCACGGTGGTTGGGGTTGTGGGCCCAAGCCTGTTTCTGGAGCACACTCGCTTGTTCAGAGTCCTATTTTTCTGCATGTGGTCCCACCAGCCCCAGGTCCCAGTCTCCCCCAGTCACTGCATGGCACCATAACTGGTGTTTGCACATTTTTTCCCTCTTTCTCTCTTTTTTCCCCCTTTTCCCCAAACAATCCAGGCCACGTGTCTCCTCATCCTGTGTTTCCTTTTGGTTTCCGCCTTGTCTCCCGCCATGGTGATGAAGCTCCTTCTCCTCCTCATCCTTTTTGTCGTCTTGTAGTTCTTTACTGTTTCGGAGACCCATTGTTTTGTTTTCTGGCTTTGTTTTCTTCCCGCTCTTTTGGTTTGTTCTCATTAACTTGCCCACGCATGCAGCAGCCTGATTTTAGGGACGCCGACCCTTACCGCATGCCCCACGCCAAGGACACGGACCCCACACAGCCCCGGAGCTACAGGACCTGCCGGCCTGAGGAGAATGACTCCTACGCCACCGAGGTAAGAGCCGCGTCCCCCCTTGGCCAGCAGGGATGGGGACGGGGCTGTCCCTCTAGAGAGCTGGGGACACAGGGAGGCCAGGCCACCGTCCACATCCCCTCTGCGGGCCATTGCAGATAAAGGAGCTGCAGCTGGTGCTGTCGGAGGCCAACGAGAGCCTGCGGGGGCTGCAGGAGCAGCTCTCCCAGGAGAGGCAGCTGAGGAAGGACGAGGTGGACAACTTCTCACAGAAGATCTGCCAGGTGAGTAGGCAGCAGCCCCAGTACCTGGGAGACAGGGATCCCTGCTCCCATGGCCGTGGACACCTCCAGCCCCAGGCTGATAATCCACCTTAGGGCATGGGTGTCGCATGGATGTCACCCAGGGCTGCACAGAGCACAGTATCCCAACTGGTTTGTGTTGGAAGGGTCCTTATGGCTCATCCAGCTCAAACCCCTGCCACAGGCAGGGACCCCTTCCACTGGAGCAGCTTGCTCCAAGCCCCTGTGTCCAACCTGGCCTTGAACACTGCCAGGGATGGGGCAGCCACAGCTTCTCTGGGCACCCTGTGCCAGCGCCTCAGCACCCTCACAGGGAAGAGCTTCTGCCTAAGAGCTCAGCTCAGTCTCCCCTCTGGCAGGTTAAAGCCATTCCCCTTGGCCTGTCCCTACAGGCCCTTCTCATCACCCAATACCCCCAAGTCCTTTTCAGAGGCTTTTCCATCCCATCTTCAAGGGGCACAGGGTCTGTGCACACTCCTTCTTGCACATGGCCATGCAGCTTCCACCCATGCCAGTGCCTCGGTGTTCCTGCTGTCCCCAGCATGCTGCCAGGGCAATGCAGCTCCCCAGGGGTGTTAGATATGAGGCTGGCACCAGGCTCAGCCCACACTGCTGTGCCAGCCCCTGTCTCAGAGCCCACGTCTCTCTGCAGCTGAAGGAGGACCACCAGAAAGCGCTGCTGCGGCGCGAGTTTGAGCTGCAGAGCCTGAACCTGCAGAGGCGTCTGGAGCAGAAGTTCTGGAGCCAGGAGAAGAACCTGCTGGTGCAGGAGTCACAGCAGTTCAGGCAGAGCTTCCTCCTGCTCTTCATGAAGCTCAAGTGGTTCCTCAAGCGCTGGCGCCAGGGCAAGATGGTGCACAGCGAGGGCGAGGACTTTTTGGAGGTACTGTGGGCTGAGGGGCTCCCACCTTGGCTGCTGTGGAGGGGTGACCACGCTGCTGGGCATCCCTCCTGGGCACGTGTCCCACCCAGAGCTGGTTGATGTCCCCATCCCATGCTGTGGGTCCCCTCATCACCCCAGCCATGGTGTCCCCACAGGTGAACAGCATGAAGGAGCTGTACCTGCTGCTGGAGGAGGAGGAGCTCGCCCCACAGCAGCAGGCAGACAACAAGATGTGCACTGGGGATGCCTGGACCCCCAGCACGGTGAGCAGGGTCCCCATGAAGGGGTAGGATCAGCCCCCATTGAGGCTGTGGGCATGGGCGGGCTGCTCCTCTCAGGTGCATGGCTGGGAGGGGATGCTGCCCGCTGGCATGGCACCCCAGGGGTGGTCCCGTGCCCTGGTGGCACCCGCTGTCCCTCACCCCGGGGCTGGTGTGAAGAGAAAGCAGCTCCAAACGGGGTCCCACCTCATTGGGCAGCCCCAGCTCCCTCTGATGCCCTTATCCCTCTGCAGCCCAACGAGTGCATCAAGACACTGGCGGAAATGAAGGGGACCCTGCAGGAGCTGTGCACAGAGCTGCGGGAGGAGCGGCGCGGGGCCAGTGAGCTCCAGCAGCAGTTCACCAAGGCCAAGGCTGCCTGGGAGATGGAGCGCGCCGAGCTCAAGTGCCACATCGCCCAGGTGGGAGCCCCGGGCACCCCCCTTTGCTGGGGGAGCCGGGGGGTGCCTGTGTGCCAAGCGCTGGCGTCTGGGCAGGGCTGGGAAGAGGGTGGCACTGTGGGAATCTCAATTAGCAGCCGCTCCGGCAGGCGAGTTTCTATGGCAACGGGGCTGGCAGGAAAACCTGACTGGAGCAGCAGAAGATGCTCTTTATTCATCACTGGGTTTGTGTGGGGCCGGTGGGACGGTGCCGGGGCTCAGTGTCCCTCCCCAGGGAGCAGCATCAGAGCCCTCCTGTTTTCCTGTGTCATGGTGCAGGTCAGAGCTCTGCACCCCCATGGCTGCTGCAAGGGAGATCTATGGTAGGGGGTTGGAACTGGATGATCCTAAGGTTCTTTGCAACCCAAACCATTCTGTGGTTCTATGGCAGAGGCTAGGGAAGGAGGTGGAGGGAGAGCAGCCTCAGCACTGGGGGAATCTCCTGCTGCAGAAGCTGTCCCGTCAGTCCCCCAGCTTTGCCCTCACAGTGATGAGTGTCTTTGCTCCCTCACACTGCTGGCAGCAGCCCATGGCCATACATCAGCTCCGCTCCCCAGCACCTTCCAGGCGGGATTTCTCCAGGCAGAGCTCAGTGATGAGCGCAATTCCCCTCTCCCAACCCTAAAAGAGCAGAGCTGCCACAGTGGCAGCCCCCCAGGTCCTTCCTGGCTGCCAGCAGCAGCAGCAGCATCCTTGGGGTCCGCTCTACCAGCCCCTCTCCAGGAGCTGGGTCCAGCAGGCAGGGCTGCAGGCAGGGCACAGCCGAGCAGGCAGCACATTCAGTCCATGTCCCACTGGGTGACCGTCTGCCAGCCCGTCTGGCAGGACATGGCTGCAAGCCAGGGCTGCACAGCCTTGGGGACACCATTATTGACTTGGGCAGCATGGGATCTGCACTGGGAACCCATGGCCTTGCCCCTGTGCTGCGGATGTCCAGCACCATGGGTCCCCCACAGCCACCACCATGTCCCTGCAGCTGGAGTCCAAGGCAGGCAAAGGGATCACAGAGCGTGCGCTGCCGGATTGGAAGGTGGCGTTGAAGAGGGAGCGCGAGGAGCACCAGCATCTCCTAGCCGAGTCCTACAGCGCTGTCATGGACCTCACCAAGCAGCTGCAGATCAGCGAGAAGAACTGGAACCAGGAGAAGGTGGAGCTGCTGGCCCGCTTCAAGGAGGAGCAGCAGCAGGCAGAGCAGCAAGCGAAGGACCTGCAGAACAAAATCAACCAGGTATGGTGTGTCCCTATCATGAATGTGTCTTCTGGCCTCTGCTGTTTGCCCAGAGGGCCACATTGCACATGTTGAGTGACCAACACATTCTCTAGTTGCAGAAAGGAACCAACCCATGGGCATTGAAGCACTCTGAAATGGAGAAGCACAGCAGCAACTGGAAAGAGGTGGGCAAGAGAGATTGGAGGGCTCTCGCAATGCTTATTGTGCTGAAGTGTATGTTTAGATATGGTTAAGTGTATGGTTAGATGGGAGGACATGTGGACCCCAAATAACACCCCCAGGAACACCAAATGAAGGGGAAACACCAGGGACTGGGGGGAATAAGAGGGTGGGGAGCATGGCTGAACATCAAGGGTTATAAAGAGTTGATTTATAATAGATGTGGCACAGTGGAATGGGATGCCAGGCCTGGGCGCATGGGGAAAGGTGGTAGTGCTGGAGAGGAGCAGGGTGCAGCAGTCCCTGCTCCAGCCCATTTGTGTACATTGGTCCTGTGCCTGCTGACACCAGAGCTTGCTTCTGTGTCCTCCCAGGCTCTCAATGAAAAAATCACAGACAAAGAGACAATCTCTGAAGCAGAAGCCAAGGGAACCAACCTCAAAAGGTAAGGGAGCTGGTGCCTGCATGCTCCCTGGGGCACGCAGGGGGCTGCATGGGGCTGTCACTGGGCTTGGCAGCCCCAGCAGCCGGGGGAGATGCAGCTGTGGGACAGGGTTGTCCTGGAGGCCAACGGCTCCGTGAGGAGTTGGACTGGGTGCTCAGGGGAGACCCATTCTGGGGAAAGCAGGGTGCCTCCAGCAGCCCCCCAGCCCACTGCCCTGTCCCCTTGTGAGCTCTCTCCTCCCTCCTCCCACAGGACCAAGTCTGTTTCCTCCATGTCAGAGTTTGAAAGCTTGCTCGACTGTTCTCCCTACCTCCCTGGAAAGACCACGCCAGGCCTGGGCGACCACTCCCGGGCCAAAAAGGCATCTGCAGCTGCCCAGCTGCTTCCCAACGGCATCCGGGACAGCGCCGGCCTTCCTCCCTCCCGCTGTACGTATGTGAACATCGAGCAACCTGCCCCCGACAGCCTGGCCAAGGAGAAGCTGGGCATCTCCTCCTGGGACTACTCGTGGGCACACAGCCTCTCTGCGCACAACCCAGCCCAGAAGCAGATGCAGAGGAGCTACACAGCACCTGACAAGACGGGGATCCGCATCTACTACAGCCCGCCGGTGGTGCGGCGGCTGGAGGCGCCGCTGGTGCACAACAAGGAGGGCAAGATCATGATTGAACCTGGCTTCTTGTTCACCATGGCCAAGCCGAAGGAGCCGGAGGAGTCGGCCAGCGCTGAGAGCACCTACAGCCAGTGGCTCTGCAACTTCTCCAAGCAGCAGCGGGAGCTGCTGGACGCTGGCACAGTGGAGAGCGCGGTGCCACCAGTGCCCCGCTTCCCCCCATCACTGCACGACCTGGAGATCTCCGGCAACATGAGCGATGACATGAAGGAGATCACCAACTGCGTGCGGCAGGCCATCCGCTCCAGCTCCCTGGAGAGGAAGGTGAAGAGCACCTCGAGCCAGACAGTGGGGCTGGCCCACGTGGGGACACAGACCATCCAGATGGTGAGCATCGGGCTGCAGACCGACCTGCCGCGCGGCAGCAGCATGCACAGCAAGAGCTGGTCCCCGCGCAGCTCCTCCCTCGTGTCCGTGCGCAGCAAGCAGATCTCCTCCTCCCTGGACAAGGTGCACTCCAGGATCGAGCGGCCGTGCTGCTCCCCGAAATACGGCTCTCCAAAGCTCCAGAGGAGGTCCTCCTCCAAGCTGGATGCGTCTAAGGACAGGAGCCTCTGGAACCTGCACCAGAGCAAGCAGAACGGCTCTGCCTGGGCCCGCTCCACCACCACCCGCGACAGCCCCGTCCTCAGCAACATCAACGATGGCTTGTCCAGTTTGTTCAGCGTGGTGGAGCACGCGGGCAGCACCGAGTCCATCTGGAAGCCGGGCTGCCCTGAGAGCAGCCGGGCCAAGCCCGAAGCACCCAAGTACGGCCTCGTGCAGGAGTTCTTCAGGAACGTGTGCGGGCGGGCGCAGAGCCCCACTGCCCCCCCGGAGAAGAAGGAGACCCCAGGGGAGGAGGGCAGCAAGAGAGCCGAGCACCCCGGCCCGGCCCCCCACCACCCGGCAGAGAGCATCTCCCGCGGCTTGAACAAGAAGGTGCTCAAGCAGAGCAGCTGCGAGGACCCCAAACCCTCGTCCCCCGGGCAGGGGGGTAAGGACGCAGCCCTGCGGGACCCCGACCTCATCTCGGCCATAGCCAGCGAGGTAACGAGGCTGGGTGCCCCCCGGGCTGCCCCACCGTGGCGGGGGACAGGGTGCCTGGCCCCTCTAACCCCCCTGTGCCGTCTGTCTTTGCAGGACATGGCGTGTGACTGCAGCTCCCAGTCCCTCACCTCCTGCTTTGCCCGGCCATCCCGCTCTGCGGTCCGCCATTCCCCATCCAAGTGCAAACTGCACCCTGCGGACCCCCCCAGGGCGGAGGAGAAGCTGGGGGCCTCGAGTGAGTGAGGCCGGGGGCCGGAGGCCGCAGTGTGCCTGCTATCCATGCTCCAGCCGGGACAGCGCCTGCGCTGACGCCCTGCGGGGCCCTGCTCGGGAGCGGTGTGGGCACATCTGTCTCCTGACTGTCCCCTCGCCTCTGGGGACGCTTGGGAAGCAGATGTGGAGCCAGAGGCAGAGGCTGCCGGTAGCCCTTGGGGTGCATGGTGACATCCACCGTGGTGGCTGCTTCACCTCCCGTCTGCGTGAGACGCGCTCCCATGGCACTGCTGCCAGCACTGGGGGGGTCCTCAATGGTGCTGATCCCTCTGGGAACATCAGCTGAGACCCCACCATGCCGAGGGCTCGTTGGGGCCTGGAAAGGGGAGAGCAGCCAGGGGGGCTGCTTGTGTAAATAGGGCAGGGCTGGGGGGAAGCACGGTGGGGACCCTGGATGGATGCAGCAGATGGGGGCACGATGCCGTGTTGGCCCTGCAGCTGCTGCCAGTGCTGCCCACCCTGCGGGAGCTCCAGCGCATCCCTGCCAGCCCCCATTGCAGTGCGGTTGCATCAGCCTGGACCGCACGTGCTTCCCGGGCAGGAAGGAGGCGGGGAAGGTCCCTGCGGTCACCCAGGCTGGGCTGGGCTGGGCTGGATGCGGGGCCCTCCCTGGCCACCCTTCTGCTCTGGGGGGGCTGCTGAGGTCCTGCAGTGCCGGGAAGGGCCCGGGTGTCCCCCTGGATCATCCGGATGCAGATGGGGTGTCTGGGTGCACAGTGCAGGGAGATGCAGCGTGTGCCTCTGTGCGTGCACACTGATGTGTGTGTATCTCCTGCCACCTCCACGAGGGGCCACGGCTGTGGTGCCCCCCTGCACTGCACCCACCCCCCTGCCTGGGGCCACCTGTAGTTATTTGCTCCTCCAAGTGCTGAATATCCATACTTCTCTTTCTTTATTTCCTTTCTTTTTCTCTTCCCCTCCCCTTTGGCTCTGCCCAACTCCAGACAGCCTGCAATGTAAAACCAAGTGCATTTTACAGACACCGAATGGAGCTGCCTGGGACGTGCACCAATTGCATTAAGAGATTGTGGGGTGGGAGCTGTGCGTGGTCCCCGGTCACCACCAGCAAAAGCCTTACCTGGGGAGGGAGGGGGCAGCAGCCACGGCCCCCCATGGCAGTGCAGAGCTCACAGAGCAGCCCCGGGAGAGGACAGCAATCCTGGAGGCAGCTCCCTGACCTATTTCCAAGCTGCTGCCAAGGCCAGGCAGGGATTCAGGGAGCTGGAGCTGCCTGTAGGTGCCTCCAGGGGCTCAGTGCAGTGCTCTAGGGCTCTGTACCCTGCTCTAGGGCTCAGTGCATTGCTCTGGGGCTCTGTACCCTGCTCTAGGGCTCTGTACACTGCTCTAGGGCTCAGTGCATTGCTCTGGGGCTCCATACACAGCTCTAGGGCTCTGTACACAGCTCTAGGGCTCTGTACACTGCTCTAGGGCTCTGTACACTGCTCTAAGACTCAATGCATTGCTCTAGGGCAGGGTGCATTGCTCTGGGGCTCTGTACACTGCTCTAGGGCTCGGTGCATTGCCCTAGTGCACTGTACACAGCTCCAGGGCCTCTGCCCATTGCTGTCATCTTGCAGCCTGGCCTCAGAGCCACTGCTGCAGCTGCTGCCCCTCCTGCTCCGGCCCCACAGCAGCATCACTGCCAGCTCACAGCCTCTGCAAGCATCCCCGGGCCGGCCGCTCACTGCCTGTGTCTCTGGGCACACCAGCATCAGCCAGGGCCAGCAGGCCCAGCACCGGTGGCCTTTAGCTCCTTGGGGCACCTGGCCAGCCCCTGGGGGACCCCCAGCTGTGGGACACATGGGGCAGGCGCTGCCCACCCTCACCAGCAGCATTCCTGCCATGGAAGTGGGGTTCCTGCACTGCCACGGGCAACCTGCTGTACATAGATCCTTTTGGGGTGGTTTTTAGCATTTTCATTGGTAACAGGGGGTTTGGTTTGGTTTGGTTTGTTGGTTTTTTTTAAAGACTCTCTACTTTCGGAATGTGGTTTCTCATTTTTACAACTGCCTTTGAATGATTTGTAATATTGGTCGCTTCTGTCTGACTCTGTAAATAGTGGTGCTGGTGTCTGCGGGGTGGGGGCTGAGCTCATGCTGGTGATGGGGCTGCAGAAGCAATGGGGAGGGTTTGCTGGAGGTGGAGAGCTGGCTGGTGCTGCCCCAGCCCTCAGCCTCCGCCCTGTCCCCCTGCACCAGTGTGAAGCCCAAGCTGCTTTGGGCAAAGCCGCGCTTGCCCCTGCCCTGTCCTGCTTCCTCTCGCCACGGTCGCATGAAGGGCACCTCCTGCCCCGATGACAGGCCCCTGTCCCCCTGACCCATGCTTGTCGTGTGATGAATAAAGGCCCTGCAACCCCTCAGCCCTGCCCTTGGTGCTGCCTTCCCCTGCTGCAGGGACAGGGGTGCCTGTCCTGCATGGGGCACTGGTGCTGCTGGGTGGGGAGGGGAGGGGGGGCTGTGGCACCCATGGGTGGGGAGATGGAGGATCACAGAATCACAGAACAGTTTGGGTTGGAAGGGACCTTCAGCGCTCACCCAGCTCCAACCCCCTGCAATGAGCATAGGGACATCTTCAGCTAGATCAGAGTGCCCAGAACCACATCCAGCCTGGCCTGGGATGGCTGCAGGGATGGGGCATCCCCCACCCCTCTGGGCCGCCTGTGCCAGGGTTTTACCACCCTCATTGTACAAAATCTCTTCCTCACATCCAGCCTGAATCTCCCTCTTTTAGTTTGAAACCATCACCCCTCAGCCTGTCACTGAGGGACAGGACCTAGACCCTGTCAGCTGCCCAGCCACACACTGTATCCCATCCTCTCCTCACCCACCCATCTCCCCAGCACCATCCCTGTGTGCTGACCCCAATTGGTCTCTGTCATCACCTATGGGCCCTCCATGGCCTCCTCACCAGGGCTGTCGCCACACCACTTGGCTCTGCGTTGTTCTTGTGATGCTGGTGTAGGTCATGCCTCCCCTATCATGTCCCATCCTGCCCAGCAGCTCACCTCATCCTGCACAGGGACCCCACATCCCCTTGCCCATCTTCATCCGCTTCCACTTCCCATTGTCCCCCATCCTTCCTTATGCCTCAGTACTGCCCACTATTTTCCTGCTCTTCCTTATTCTCCACTTCTATCTGCCCAGTCCTTGTCCTCCTCCAGCCTCTTTTCTTTATTGTCCCCCACTTCCCACCATATTCCACACCTCTCTTCTCCTCCATCTCATACCTCTTCCTCCACCTCAGTCTCTCCTTCCTGTGAACCTCCACCTCCCATTGTTACCCCTCCTTTTTCATGCTCTTTCACCTCTTGCCCTGTCCCTCCTCATACTTGACCTCTGGCTTTCTCCCCATCTCTTTGCATTCACCTCCCAGTCTCCCTCATACTCCTCCATCTCTCAAGTCTCCCAATCCCTCCTTATCCTCCAAGTGTCCCATCTACCTCACAGGTTTCCCTTCCAGCCACCCTCTCTTACCCCCAAGCATCCTCCCTTCCTCACACCTCCCTCTCTTGCTGTGCTTTCATCTTTCACATCCCAACCACATCTTGACCTCCCATCTTCTCCCAGCCTGACCTCTGCCATTCGTCCTCTCCTCCTTCCTCCCCGCATTCTTTTTACCCCCAGCACATCTGACTCCTGCTGTTACTTTCTCCTCTTCTACTTTATCTCCCATCTCTCACTAGCCCAGCAAAGCCACCACCAGCACCAGCCCTATGGGATGTGGGGCTGGGTTAGCTGCAGAATCAGCCTCCCACCCCATCCCCACAACTCAAGGCACTTTTACAGCAGAGGTGATGGCCACAGCTTGCACATTCATGCTTGACACCAAGAAACACTTCTTAGGGCTGGTGCAGCTGGAACTGGTCACTGGGGAAGTGGGAGAATCCGTGCCCTTAGAAGGTTTAATTCAGCCAGATGAAGTCACCAGTGTCCTGATTTAGCATAGCAATAACTATTTTGGAACACAGCTTGGCCCAGAGCTCCCTGGGATCCATTCAAACACACACATCTCTGGGAGACTCCTTGAGCATTGGGGGATTTCCAAGAGGAGCAAGAAAGGCCAGAGATGGCTTTTGAACGCAGCGCTTGGGATGCTGCAGGACATGAGGATCTGTTCCTGCACTTGCAGCTGTTCCATGGTGCTCAAGCAGGACCATCCCATGCTGCCCAAGCAGGACCATCCCATGCTGCCCAAGCAGGACCATCCCATGCTGCCCAAGCAGGACCACCCCATGCTGCCCAAGCAGGACCATCCCATGCTGCCCAAGCAGGACCATCCCATGCTGCCCAAGCAGGACCATCCCATGCTGCCCAAGCAGGCCACGCCATGCGTCCTGAGCAGGATCACATCAGCCTGCCTGGGCAGGACCACCCCATTGCTGCTCCAGCAGAACCATCCCATGCTGCTCGAGCAGGACCATTCCACACTGCTTGAGCAGGATCACTCGATGTAGCTTGAGCAGAGCCTTCCCATGTTGCTCGAGCAGGACCGGCCCAGGTAGCTGGAGCAGGACCACTCCAGGCTGTTGAAACAGGGCTATCCAGCCTGCTTGAGTACCATGGGCAGGCCAAAGTGGCTTCCTGAAAGACTGCCAGATCCCAGGCCAGAGAGCTCTCTGTGACATGACCCCTTGGACCCTAAAGCCAGGGACACCACTTGCATCATCTTTGTTTTCCTTCCCTGGGGCTGGGCCATGCAGGGCCATGGCCATCCCTTTCCAATGACCTTATGGCTGCATGAGGACACAGGGCTGCTGCCAAGGGGGGAAAAGGTCTCCTCTCCATCCCAAGGGAGCCCCATAACCTGAGGGACCTGCCTGCAGGGCCTCCTGAGAGCATTCCACATCACTCACGCACAAGGACCAGCAGCCTCCCTTGACTGCAGACTTTGCCTTGGAGAGTCCCAGCCCCTTCCAAGGTGCTGTGTTCTGAGGGACCATCCCCCTGCAATACAGGCAGTGTCTTGGTGGGCTGGGGGTGACCTTTCTAAAGCATTCCTGTCCACATGCCTTCCTGGCTGGGAAAACTGGGGGAGGGTGGAGGGAACTCATTACCTGTGTTAGAAACTAGCTGAAGTTCGGTGTCTCCCCAAGCTGGGTTTCTTATTCCAACTGTTCAAACTGTTGTATATTGTACTGGGATTTTTACATGGAATTATTGTAGAAAAACAAAAAATTAAACCAAGTCTGTTAAAAAAATAACATTAAAAATCTCTATTAAAAAACAAAATAAACCAAAGCTGTCTCCAAGTCCTTTTCTCCCAAACGGGTCAGAGCAGTGATGTGTCTCCAGTGGTGGCTTTCCTGTTCCCAGCCCTGCCTGCCCCAGCCCCTGGGGACACCAGCTATGGTGAAGATGCCGCTCCTGGGTGGTGAAGGAAACAGCCCCCATTTCCCCATCTGCCTGCCTGTGGACAGCCTGAGCCCCTGGTGCAGAGCAGCATGGGGTGTTTGTCAGTGACCCCCTTGGGTCCCCAAAAGTTGTGTCCCCACCACGGGGCAGGACACAGTCAAATGCCTGGAGCCCAGTTTTGGGGTCCTGGATACTGAAGATATGGCTGGGATGGGACAAGCTGCTGCCTGTCCCCACTGAATGTGGGAGCAGCTCCCAGGTGAGTGGTCAGCAGCCCTTCCCCCTGCCCGTGAAGCTGCAGATCCAACAGGGCTCCACAGCAAATGGCCAGTCCCTGAGCCAGCTCCCAGGCCTGACCTGCTCAGAGGGTTTGGTGCTGAGGATGCATGAGCCCACACCACCCTCTGGTGTCAGCACCGACCTCAGCTCCATGCTTGTCCTGCTCCAGCCATGTCCCTTTGCTCCCAGGTCTGCCTGGCTACCAGAGCATCCTTGCACCACCCCAGATCCCATTCCTGCTTCCAGCATATGGACATCCCCACATGGTGTGGGGCAGGACATAGTCAAGCCAGAAGGAAGCAGAGCAAGAGCAAAGAAGACTGGCTTTGCTGGGTGCTGTCATCAGCCCTGGCAGTCCTACCAAGCACTTGTGCAGTCCTGCTACCCCCTAGGCTCTCTGAGTGTGGGACATGCTCCTGTGCCCACACACAAGGCCTTACTGCTGTCAGGGGTTCACGTCCACATTTGGTATTGGGGTGCAGGGCTGGACAACAGCTTCAGGCACCCCCTGTGCAGGTAAGTAATGGCTTTCTTGGTCTTGGGTACTGGAAAAGCTCCTGGGCACAGCAGGAGCAGATGGTGCCAAAGGACAGTGTGGGGACAGTATGCCAGGGCCCCGTGGGTGGGATGAGACCAGCCAATGTGCTGCACTATGAGATGTGGCTGCGGTGCACTCATGCCTGCAGCCTGCATCACTGGCACCTCAGACCTCACACTACTGGCACTGTGTGCCCTGCATTGCTGGCACTGTGGGCCCTACACTGCCAGCATCACAGACCCCACATCACTGCCACTGCTGACCATGCACTGCTGTCACCATGGGCTCTGGCACAGCACTGCTGCATGGCTGGCACTGCTGACACTGCACTGCTGGCACCATGGGCTCTGGCACAGCACTGCTGCATGGCTGGCACTGCTGACACTGCACTGCTGTCACTATGGGCTCTGGCACAGCACTGCTGCATGGCTGGCACTGCTGACCCTGCACTGCTGTCACCATGGGCTCTGGCACAGCACTGCTGCATGGCTGGCACTGCTGACCCTGCACTGCTGTCACCATGGGCTCTGGCACAGCACTGCTGCATGGCTGGCACTGCTGACCCTGCACTGCTGGCACCGTGGGCTCTGGCACAGCACTGCCGCATGGCTGGCACTGCTGACACTGCACTGCTGGCACCATGGGCTCTGGCACAGCACTGCTGCGTGGCTGGCACTGCTGACACTGCACTGCTGGCACTATGGGCTCTGGAACAGCACTGCTGCATGGCTGCAGTTCATCAGCAGAGGGCACAGCCCTGCTGCCTGCCCGGGCTGTGTGAGCCTGTGCTACCCGAGGTGCCCGCAGGAGACGCGGCTGTCCCCGGAGCCACAGATACTGAGCGCCCCGGAGCTCCAGCTCTTTCTCCCCACTCAACAGAGCAGGCACACGAGCAGGCAGTTACATTTACGGGTGTGTGAGACACTCTGAAGCCTGCGGACAGCGATGAGGCCACGTGGGGAAGCCAGCTCTTAAACCCCAGGCCCCTCAAGGTGCTGCTGCTGCTGCTGAAAGCACCTTCTCTCCTGATCCAGGGTTCTCTTCCTCTGCAGCCCAGGCTCCTACCGACCTGGGCCCCTCTTCCAGAACGCAAACAGCAGCAGCCAGCAGAGCCCAAGTAAACAAATGAGCTGCTGTGAGGGGAGTGCATCTTTATAAGGTTAACTGGCCCTGTCTTAGAGACAGGCATTTTCTTGTGGCTGCATCGCTCAGAAAGCTCGGGCAAACAGCACCAGCATAGCTCCTGAGTTCGATTTATATTCCTGATGGCGTTATTAGCTCATCTACATGTAGAAGGATTATGAATAGATGTCTGTACTCTTCAGAGGGCTAAATTAACCAGGCTCTGACATTCATCAGCTTCTCTTTGAAGCTTAAAGCAGCTTGAAACGCAGAGGTCTGTCTCCCAGCGGCAGCAGAGGGGGGGAAGGAACCAGCTCAGGCTTGATTCTGTGTTCAGCACAACCTGGCCTGTTTTAATACCCCCGTACCCTGAGAGGCGGGAGCAGAGGGCTGGAGGGAGGCTGCTGTGCAGCAGCGTGTGCCAGAACTCGTACTGAGCAGTTACATTTGCAAACAAAGGAGCTGATAACTCCCAGCAGGGCTGCGGGGATGCTATCTCCGCGCTGATTAAAACTCCCCCTGCAGCCAGCACGGAGGAGGAGTGTCCGCAGTGGGAGAGGAGCGGTACCCGGTGTTAACTCTGTCGCTGCTGTGTGCTGGTGCATTCAGCACAAGCCAAGGGCTGCCCTGCCAGGCCGAGTGCTGAAAAGCAGCACAGAAAACGCCAGTGGGAAGATCTGGTCACATCCTCCCTCCACATCTCTGGCTCCCTGTGCCCTCAGTGCTCCGGGGATCCACACCGCAGGGTAATCACACATAGCAGAAGGGGGATGCCTGCAGCATAGCCCAGGAGTGGTGCTGTGCTGGCTCTGCACAGTGCCTTCCCCTCTGTCCCTCAAGCCTGCAGCACCAGCCTTTTGCTCTCTGCTAGCAGTCCGACTGCTTGCTTGCAGTGTCATCTCCCATGCATGGGCCATCTCCAGCATGGGTGTCTGCTGGGGAATGAGTACCACAGGCTCCTGTTAGTATAGCTAACCTTGAGCACATCCCTTTGCCAGCACTGGCTGGGCAATAAGCTGGCCCTTGCTGTCATATATCCACCCTGCTCCTTCCTTCACGTCTGCTCTGCAGGTCCCAAGACCATTTGCAAGTGTCACTTAGGATTCTTCCCAGAATATACATTAACCTGTACCCTTTATGTTCTTTATTACTTTACAGGAGGAGAAAATGAAAGAGCCTGAAGTACAGCTGGTTTTCCTGGTGAGGTCGGAGGAGAGCTGGAGTCAAACTCAGAGCAAACCCTGCAGCGTCCAGCCCCACCAGAGCCAGCAATCAGGGCAGGAACCCAGCTGGGCGCAAACTGGGTGAGCAGAGCTGGAGAAGCAAAGTGTGGTCACACAGCAGGAGCACTTCAACTAAAGCCTTAAAATCACAGAAGGGAGGCCTGGGCATGCCCATTGCAGAGGGGAGACTGAGCTGAGCTCTTAGGCAGAAGCTCTTCCCTGTGAGGGTGCTGAGGCGCTGGCACAGGGTGCCCAGAGAAGCTGTGGCTGCCCCATCCCTGGCAGTGCTCAAGGCCAGGTTGGACACAGGGGCTTGGAGCAAGCTGCTCCAGTGGAAGGGGTCCCTGCCCGTGGCAGGGGTTGGAGCTGGATGGGCTTTAAGGTCCTTTCCAACACAAACCAGGCTGGGATTCTGTGATTTTATGGTATTTCAGACATGGACCACTGAAATGACCACATAGGAAAGACTGTGCTTGTGCCATGGGGGTGTGACTGATGGTACCAACTATGCAGTTCGCAGCCCTGTACACAGGCACTTGGAGGGTTACAAAACTCCTGCAAGAGGAGAGAGCACATCCAGGAGGCTGTCCTGAGTTTTCCCCTTGCTGAGAGAGGTGATGCAACCTCTTCCCATCAGGCAGCTTCCTACGGGCAGCTGAAGCCCAGCAAGGAAATGCCCTGGCTGCAGCAGCCCATAGTGGGCAATGCTGGGTGGAGGGCAGCTGATGGGCTGGTGGGACATGGTGCTGCCCCGGCCTGGTGCCTTGGGATGTCCTGCCCACACAGCACCAGTTGCTGCACAGCAATCATGCTGTCACTGAGCCCGGGGGGGGATTTCAGCTGCACGGGAGAGCCAAAGGCCAATGGGAAGGAAAGCAGAGGGTGCCTCCCAGGTCTGCAAACCACCTCCTCGCTGGCTCTGGGGCACCT